ATATCATGAACTCAACAGTACTAAGTTTTTCTGTGGATTACTTTTATAGCATGATTATAACATTTTGGCTCACCCATCAAAGTTTATTAAATCTCAAGTAGTACCGAAATCAATTATGGAAGGTATTTAGTGATGAATTGGAAAGGTTTATCTCTCTTGACAAAGACTCCTCACTGGTAAAACCCTTACTTCAACTAAAAAGGATCCATTGGGGGTCTGTTCATACTTTGTACAAACTTAGTGAATCCATCTGTCAACCAGACATCATATTTATGAACTAGTTTGGACCCCACATTAGGAGAGAGAGGGAAGGGGTTGCCATAAGCATGATTCAAATCCTAATGGAATTGATTTATATATCAAATATCATTAGGTCCATTGTATTAAATATCTACTGTCATTCTATATAAAAATACACCTATATATATTACATGAGAAGAGTCCCTGGAACTAGTACTTCATTATTCATCCTAAAAATAATTTAAAGTTTCATTCATATTTAAAAACTTAATTTAATTTCTGTATATATCCATTTTTTAATGCAGTATACACTATGTCTAGCAACGTATCAAACTTTAATAAGTAAGAATATTTTCAAGTCAAGTCCATTTATTTGTATTAATGTATCTTAAATTACAGAAACCAAAACATGTTTCAAGGAAAATGGCGCTGGAAAGTTTTTGTTACGAAAAAGTTAGGTAGATTTGGTTTTGGTGTCCTTTAAAACTTAAATTTGAATTTCATTGAAATAAAAAAAATACAAATTTTAGTACTTGTTTTTCTTGGAAAATTTTTTCCATGATTTTTAAGATGTTGTAGTATATATTAATTGAATTTTAAAGAATTTTATCTCCAATTGTTTACTAATGAATATCTTTCTTTTATTCAATAACCATAATATTTTACAGGACGAAGATGTAATTTTGTTTTATATACATTAAATGAATGCTAAATGAAGCCTGCTCGTGGGCCTAACTGAAATGTAAAAGTAGTTAGTTATTTTCATTATAAGTAATTAATCAATTGATTATATAAAATTCATGCTACTAAACTGTTGAACATGCCGATGCTGAATACATTAGAAAGTAGGCAGTTATTCTTTATGAAGGAATGACTTTTATTATTCTATTGTTATCTTTACAACAACTATCTAAGAGTTGAATATTTCAAAGCTGCAGTTTTTGCATTTTACAAATTTTGCTGTAATAAGGTTTATATTTTTTCTATTTACTCCAACGTTTGTCATACGGGAGTGGTTGTATGACCAAACTTATTCTAACCACTTTCAGAAGGTTCAGACTCACTACCTGGGTCATTCAAGAAATAAATTTCAACCCACTCAGATTCGAACCGACGCCGCAAGACCCGATAATGTTAAAGCGAGCAACTTTGATCAGCATAAATTGTGGTCATCACCAAAGAAAGACGATTATGGTGGCAAAGCCACGTGAAAAGTATGCCGGATACTCCAAAAAAGATAGTGAACGGGATGATAATCAGAACGAGATTGAGTGGAAGACCGAGCTTGAGGCGATTAGATGACGTGGAAGATGATTTGACAAGATTTTAAAAGGATTAAAAGGATAGCGTGAATGGCAAGCATCTCTTACTGAGGCCGGAGTCCAACCAGGCCTGCAACGGAATTAAGTAAATCAGTTAGTTTTTGTTCGAGTTTGTTTTTCTTTTATACAAGCAACAGCCATGGTAAAGAACTTATACTGGTATGCTTGGAAGGATTCGGTTTTATATCTGCTATTCTTAAGATTTATAGTAGTACGCATATAGTCGTTACTTTTACTCCACTTTTCTGTTACGTCAGGAATGAGTACTTTTATAAAGCCTAATGAAAAAGGACCCCTTTCGGCAAATTTTATTGCACAGACGCTGATATAAAACAATAACGTTATTGTAAAGTAAAACCTGTAGCCTTTTTTTGTTTATTCGATGCTCAATGGATAATTTAACGCATTTAACATAAAATAGACTCTGCAATAAAATTAGCTGGAATAAGTTTCATAAATGAAATAGTTTCATTGAGCTTCATAAGCATATTCATTTTTGACGTAACGTTTAAATGGATTAGGAGGAACTGCTATGTATACCATCCTTAGTCCCAGAACAACATTCCAACCGTTTTTTTGACAACATCTGAAATGACTGACGACCTCTGAGAGAAACCATCGTCCAAGAATGGCAAAGACGGTGGGACAACAGCGATCCTAATAAATTAAAAACAAAAAGAAAGAGGTGCAACCGTGGACCAGCTCCAGACGCAGCAGTCGTAGAGAAGAGGTCGTTCTCACGCGGCTGAGGATCGGACATACTAGACTGACACACCTCCTCCTCATAAAAAAAGATCCTATCCCCAGATGTGTAACCAATCACTAACTATAAAACATATTTTGGAAGAATGCCCTTTTTAAAGGCAAGATTAAAAGATCTCAGAATATCACAGGATATATCAGCATCTCTGGGAAATAAAGGAGAAATCGTTACCAAAATCATCAAGTTCCTGGATAGTGAAAGACATAAAAACATATATGATAAGCTTATAATTCATGATCATTTGAAAATTTATTATTTTATTTTTTATTGATTTATTTCTATTCTATTTTTTTTTATTATTTTTTTTTTTACTTCATTTATTTATTTTTTTTTAATTTCATTTATTTATATTTTTTTATTTCATTTATTTATTTATTGTTTTTTTCATTTCATTTTATCTCAAGTTCAATTGTTTATTAATCTGAATTCATTTAATAATATTACTGCTATTTTTTTAAAGTTTATTTATTCATCTATTCTATCTTATTATCTATAAATGTCTATTATTATCCTTATTTATTTATCTTATTCTATCAATCCATTTCTTTATTTTTTTCATCCTTTTTTTATTTTTATTTTTATTTTTTTTACCAACCATTCAAACAGTATTAAGTGGTATTATTTAGTTGATCGGGCCTAGACATAGAAACAAATAAACAAACAACATTCCAACCTGTTTTTATATCAACTTCAATCATTAGAAATAACCTACCCCTTATTATAAAATCTCTTGTCTTTATCATTACCAGTATATATTTATTTTACTGACAATGTTGTATGACGCTGACGTCTGTGTAAGCATAAAAAAATTAAACACATTACTTTATTGGAACATATAAAGGTAGTGGGGACAAAGGGATGTAAAAATAATAAGGAGAGAGACAGAGACATATGGACCCCGATGCGGGCTATAATATCCACAGATGGACTGTAATTCCTGAGATAGGCGAAATGGACCCTGAGCGCACGTAGCCTGGACTCACGTAGACAATCCACGATCTACCGGCCATGATAAACCGTCCCATCACTCACCTCGTTCTTGTCACTTAACAATATAACAGTCATCATTCAGCGCTAATCTTCCCCCAGCCCTCTCCTCTAGCACAGCATCACTTCTATAGCACCTTTTATATCCACCTTAAATATTATAAAATAGAAAAGATGATAAAATTAGATCACCTTATTACTAAAATAATCATTACGTTATAAATGGAAAAATCCAAAATTATAAAGCCAAGAATCTCTAACGCACGGATGAAAAGCTTCGCCAATTCAAATATCATCAGGACAGAAAAACTAAGAATACTTATAAACCGAAAGAAAAAAAAAATGTATTAACATCTCACCGTCCAAATACATACTGACAGAAACAGATGGCTCCAAAACAGCAAAGGAAGGTTATGTTAAACAGCTGATTAAAAGGGATAAAATGAGCATCTAGTTTGAAACGTTGGCTGGTTAAATGTTCGCCTGTTTTTTTAGATAGTCATGGGTTTATAGTTTGGATTTTTCATTTATAACGTCATAATCATCGTGCCTAATTTTTCCTATACTAAAATCGAACTTCTATTTTAATTTTAAATTAAGAATAGCCTCCACTTTAAACTATACAACCTTCAAAACATCCTTGGAACGACAATGCTATGGTTATCAATTTTAACTAACGATGGTATGAGTAGTCGTTCCTCCAACTACAATCGAACGTTCATTCAAAAAGAAATACTTTCATAAAAAGCAATAAAAAATAACTCTTTTCAGCCAATTTGAGTTTTTTTTCATTGAGCATATTTCATTCATAAATGTATTACTATTTGAAAGAACGTTCAAATAGAGTTGGAGGAAGGACTATACATACCAACTATATTCCAATCTAATGTATTTATAACATATTTTAGTTATTATAAACCTATTGTTTCATTTTTAGTATGGTACAAATGTGTGACGATCAATTAGATTAAAGTTTACCAGAGTAATTTATACACAATTATAGTAACTAACATATTTTAAATGTTCATACTTTGTGAATATAGAAAAAAAAAAAATCTATTATTTGTTTGAAAGGAAGGAGATCGTCCGGGGTGGCGGTCATAAAGAGGCTAAATAGTAGCAAAACTATTTTATTAAAAGCCAACGTTTCGACCCGACTTTGCAGGTCTTCTTCAGGGAGGTGTGTTAAGCAAGGAGTTTGACTGACTACTTCTATGTGAAACTCCTAGCTGAACACACCTCCTTGAAGAAGACCTGCAAAGTCGGGTTTCTATTTAGCCTATTTATGACCGCCACCCCGGACCATCTCCTTCCTTTATAATGCAACGGTCAACTATTAAATATTCAATATTATTTGTTTGTTTTATATTATTAATCCCGACTTGTTGATGTTTTCATTTCTATCGTGTGGTCTAATGCACATAACGCAGTTTTTTTTTTTTTCATTGATCCGTATTTGTTTTTGAGGTTAATGTGAAATAATATATAAAGGCATTCATAATTATTCAGACCGAGATATTGCCGTAAGGTCCCCTCAAGACAATACCTGTTGCCCCGAGACATGCTGGCCGCGCATCAATAAACAACTGCTTGCACAATGAACGGCCGGGGAAGACAATGAGCGACACAGCCTGCGGAGGAAAGAGCGCGAGTCGGTAAAGCGCCGGATAGTGCCGCTTTGTTCTCTGCTAATAATCCTTTTGTCTGATGGAACAATGGCGGGGCGGGAGGACATCCTGGTGCACTGGTCGATCCGCTGGCTGGGCCCCCGCCCCCCGGGTCCCACCGCCCCTCCTCAGGTCCCACCGCCCCTTGGGACCCTGCCAGCCGGAGCTGGAGTCGTTAATCCTCTCCCTCTTCGGGCTATATGGTCCAGGTAGGGATCGCCAGACCGCAACCGGGCTCTGTGCAGGAAAGGGCGGCCTAAGCTATGGAGGAAACGTATTTACAACCTTAGATAATGGTATAAACATTCCTTTCGCGTATAGGCTAGGAGTTAACGACCATTTATATGAACTGAAAGACTTAGAGCTAACAACTATTTTAAATTCTAGATAAACCTCATCTGAACTAACAACTTAGGTAAGTCGGTTCAAAGCTCTCATTTTATACAAAAAATTAAATTAAAGTGGCAAAATTTGAGGTTTCATTTAAAAAGATAAAATGATGTAGAAATTGTTGACCGTGATATAATGTGAGAAAGAGTTGGTCGGAGGGTGCGGTCAAATAAATACTAAATTATACAAATAGTATTATTTAATTTTTGCCGACATTTCGACCCAATTTGCCAGGTCTTCATCAGGGCTACAAAAGATACAAAACATGGTGAAAATAAAACAAATGAATAGAAGTAGATATAAAATAAGGAGAAGTTGTCTGATAAAGAAACAAAAAGATGATATCAGAGATATAGTGGGTGACAAACAAAAATAGAAGAAACAAACGAAAATGCAAAATAAGTATGAATAAAAATAGAAAACAAAGGAGAATATAGCATGTAAGTTAAAAGTAAACAGATCGCGATAAAAGATAAGAAATGAGTGTATAACAAACTAATAAAGATTACATTTGATTCATTTGTTTTATTTTCACCATGTTTTTTGTCTTTTGTAGCTCTGATGAAGACATCCAAAGTAGGTCGAAACGTTGGCAAAAATTAAATAATACTATTTGTATAATTTATTATTTATTTGACCAACTCCTTCTCGTAAAAAGATAAAAAGTGTTTGCTTGCGGTTTTAGATAAAAACTTGAAATGAAGCATCACTAATAATGTGATAAAAAAAATTAAATTAATGGAATAATAATTAAATTAATTAAATTAAAAATAATAGACTTAATGATGAACAAAACAAAATCTGGACTAAGCATTTATCTTTTCTATAATATAAAAATAATAATAATGAAAAAAAAAATCAAATTTACATTTGCTCGAAAATAAAATAAAATAAGAACTTCTTAAAAAGATAAGTTAAAATTAACGACAAATAAAAACAATTTTGAAATATTGAATAAAATAAATGATATTTGTATCTCAATGCAATAGTACCAAAATCAATTAATCTAAACTAGTGCTAAGATTAACGAAATATCGCTAATATTGAAAATAGAATTTATATAAAACAAAATTTTGAATAGTAAAACCTGGGCGTGCTGAGGTGACGAGCAGTAGAAGTAGTGGAACAGCAGGCATTCCTGTCTTATTACAGTGACTTCATATAAATAGTTTATGAGCGCATACATTTTTCAGTAAAACTGCAAATGGGCAGTAAAATAGTGAGTTCGCAATGGAGGACTGTGGCAGAGCTCACGCAAAACTGGAAGAGGACCATAAAGCAACTCTTAGCACTAACGGACTGCACCAGATTCTCTCATTCACTAAGTTCACGGGTTTAACACTTGACATTAATATATATATATATATATATATATATATATATATATATATATATATATATATATATATATATATATATATATATATATATATATATATATTATATATATATATATATATATATATATATATATATATATATATATATATATATGGCTATAATCCCACCACATAAATTCACATAACCTAAATGGTCTCTTTTATTTATCCTCTTTTTCCTCAAAACATTAACTCTTCATAAATAACGATAAAATAGGTACAACTAACAACAGTCAATATAAGAGAGTAGGAAATTTACAGTATAGGAAATTTTTTAAGCCAATGGAATTTTAAACACATACACGAACTACCTGATCGTCTTATAATAATAATCTCGTAATAGATAAAAAAAATATTATTAATTTAAAAAAAAAATCGAATTATCGAGTTTTAGTGTTTATTTGATGCAAAATAAAAATAGTAATTTTTTTAAAGAGTAAGTTTTTCACTTGGGTTCAAGAGCTAAAATATTTTTGCCTCTCAAAGGTTCCCCCGAGATTTTCCGTACTAATTTTTTTGATTATTAAATGTTTGAACATATATACGAAATCTAAAGAATAAAATCTTTCTTCCTATTTTTAGCATTATAATCACCGTTTCGATACCAAACTAAACCTTGCTAATACCTAATAATAAATACGAAAAATCAAAGGATATAACTGTAGTTTTTAAAATTATTTACGTTACGATTGACACGGACGCTAATTCTGACGAAGTGGTAATGTATTCAAAAGAAACGTTTGAGGAGACGCACCGATGAACGAAATAGTACGATGAATAACCAGTCATGAATACTTGATGTAGAAACAATCGCTTGAAGAATCCTCTTATTCAAGCGGTTATTAATCAGAAAATGAATAATACATGCAGTGAGGCAATGGTAAACATGTAATGACACCGTAGCATTGTTTGCATATGAGCCTCCATGTAATGACAAAGCGCTGAAACATTAGCATAAGTGATTGGCTATCGTTTTACATGGCAATCATTTACACCTTTTATGCATATAAATGTCACTTCTTATTGTTATCAATGTATTAACGAAAAAAAAGGATTGTAAAAAAATACCGAAATTATTTTTATTTTTAAAATAATCAAATAATTTAAATCATATCCTATGAAAATAAAAATTTATTGTTTCATACCGGTAGTATTACATATATGTTATATATATATATATATATATATATATATATATACCCATAACTGGTAAACTGGTAATTGGTTGACTGTCGTGGATAATGAAGAGAAGAAATGGTTGGGGTGGTCAGTCAAAAAGGAAGGCAAAAATAAATGATAATATTTAATATTTCTTAGCCCTGATGAAGGCCTGAACTTCAGGTCGAAACGTCGGCATACGTAAAAACAAATATTATCATTTATTTTGATTGCCTGTATATATATATATATATATATATATATATATAGGCTAATGTTGCAATAATTATGTTTTTGTCTATTATCTTTTTATTAATTATCTTTTGGCGACGATTCAGTTGCCTTATTTTCTGAGAATACAAGTTAGTTTTTTTTCACCACATATTTTTACCACCTGATAATTTTTAAATCAATGGCACCAAACTATGAACGATATATATATAGAATAGAATAGAATAGAAAAATCATTTTTATTCTGGGACTAGGTCCCTTTAGAATAACAGTATTGTTCATATATATTAACTACAAATCTGGTCAAAAGACTTATTACAATGAATAATGACAAAATACATGTAATACATTAAGTATTAATTAGGCTCTTAGGATAAATTAACGAGGACAGTTGGGTAATAGGGGTTCAGTACTACAATATTGGAGCTAAAATAATTGCATAATAATTACTGAATGAAATTAGAAAGGAAAGTAAAATCTTTTTATAGGTAAAGCATTGTAGTGATGGAATATAAAAATTAAAAAAAAAACAACAATAACTGTTAATATGTAGGGAAAGAAATTGTAAAAACTAAAACAAAAAAATATATAAAAAAAAAATAATGATATACATATGTTCCCTAAGATATTTAAGTGGTTATGCGTAAAGATTAGGAGAAGAGAAAATAAAATAAAGTATATATATACACATAGCGAGAAGTATGTTGAAGATAATTAGAAATAAAATACATTTCACTGAAATACATTCCATGAATAACAAATTAGAACTTAAGGAAAACAAATTTTATCTACTCACAATGCTTAGTGAGTGGTGATGAAAATTCACGTTCAACACAGAATAAAACAATAAAAAATAAGAGAAAAAAATAATGTCTAAAGAAAATTAAATCCTTATAACATAGTATGTATTTAACCAGCGTCTGATTGGCTTGTGAAGAGGAATTGGAATAAGAGGGTTTTAAAGGTGGGTAAGGATGATGCATGGCGGATTTTTAGTGGGATGGAATTCCAGAATGCAGTGAAACGGACAACGAAGGAATGTTTAAATGATGCAGATCTGTGGAAAGGAGTGTAAAGGTCAGAAGGACGAGATCTTGTGGAGAGGGTGTGGATAGATGATTTGAATTGTAGGAGATTGTATGCGTAGGACTGACGATGACTATTGATTATTTGGTAAAGGAATGTGCCTAGGAAATATTGTCTTCGGAAGGAAGGGAAGAGCCATCCTAATTCAGCATAGTGGTGCGAAACACGGGAATACCTCAGGGCCCCTGTGACAAATCTTACGAAGGCATTCATAATTCTTTTCAGTCTCTCCCCGAGTTCTGCCGAGAGGCCACCGTACACCACGCAGCCGTAATCAAGGTGGGGGAAGATGAGGGAAGTTACTAGGAGTCTACGTGTGGAGATGGGTAGGAGATGGCGGAAGCGATGGAATAGTTTCAAGGTACCAATTGACTGTCGGGTAATGTGAGCAATATGGTGTTTCCAGTATAGGGTTTGGTCTATGAAAATGCCTCGGTTTTTTACTGAGGAGGTGAAGGTAATGGGATGGTCATTTAGGTACAGTATAGGTATGTTGGTATTGGCTCTGAGAAGGGGTTTGGAACCAATGACAATGGCTTGAGTTTTTGCAGCGTTTAACCTTAACCCATTTAAGTTTGCCCAGGCACTGATCCGATTCAAGTCTTCTTGAATTTTGGCAAACGCTTCATGCAACTCTGAGGGATGGAAGGAAAGGTGGATTTGGGAGTCATCGGCGTAAAGGTGATGGGAGCAGTGAAGGATTGAATAATATACAGGTAATAGGAATTATCAATTTTTGAAAAATTGTATTTATCTACGCTAATATCATCCTCTCTAAAGTAGTGCCTGTTAGATATTATCCACTTACGACAGTGCTTCTTCCAATCCTCGAAATACTTCTGGAACTCCATTATTGGGATACCATTTATCTCACAAAGCAAAGAACTTTCAATTTTATCCATGCTTGAAAACGACAGCCTTTTAAGGACTTTTTTTTTAGAAAAGAGGAAAAATTCACACGGGATCATATTAAGCGAATTATATGGCTTCATAAATATTTCTTGCTTTTTTCCGCGTTTTCATCGGTTGATAAGGTGACTAAAACGCTTGACATCATTAACATCTTCTTGGAAACGCTCGAACCACTCATAAACCCATATTTAATTCAGAGTAAACTCAGCATGAACATTATTCAACATTTCTTAATTTTTTGTAACATTTTAATCATTTTTTCATATGAAAAATTAATTAAAATTCTCTGATCCATTTTTCCAACAAATCAGAAATCGACACTTGCAAACGAACATCCATAATCTTCTTCACAACTGACTTCAATTCAGCACGAGCATTGTCATTTATAAACCGAGTAATAATTACTTAAAAATATATTTATAAATATTAATATAAAATAAATTTATTTTTTTAATGGTTTTTAATCCCCAATATTTTAGCTTTTTATTGATTTAACATTTGAAAGAAGTTCTGAAAGAGAACTCCTTAAAGGGACATTAACGACAAAGGGCAGCTAAAGGTTGTCCTTATCAGGCCTTTGTTCTCGGCTAAATGCTGCAATGACACCTGCAATATTGCACATTACTGCAAGACAACAACGGGCGATAGAGCAGAACTGTTATTGCTGCACCCAAACGAAGAAATGTTCTCCGGCTATTTTCCTCAGCAAGAGTTAATTGGGCGTAGCCACTGTGACAGGGTTAACGTACTTTACAGTGTTCTGCAGCATAAGTATGTATGATAGTTCCTTTGATGTCTTCTTCAGAGTTATTTGTACCTTAATGATTACCACTTAAATCCATTTCAATTCGTATTCATCGATAAAAATCAAATATATATATCATCAAAGAAACTCTCTACAATATGCGTCACATAATTATCACAAAACGAGATCTGTTTAGTATCTTAATAGCGGACTTAAGCGAACAAGTTAATGGCATATGTCTTCACGATATTCCTCGAGACACGTCATGACTTAATTTGAAGGGTTCACTATGTGGTAATGATGGTGGATCAGTAACTTTAATCGCAGTTAACTAAATCATTTCAATTATTTTCTTATTGTTAACGTTTGACGTTAATAACATTTTCACATTCTGTTAGAAAAAATGATGAACCACCACCAGCTTTGAAAATGCTATTAGAGACAGTTGACCAACGATATCACCGAAGTTCTTGGATCACTGATTCATAAATCCAGGAAGGAGATACACACGGTATTTCCCACTGTTGACCATGCTGCCGCCAAACCCAAAATGGTAAAATATAACCATGTTTTATTGAAAAATATCTCTTAAACTATTATTGTTCATGTAATGACATTTAAAAGGACTTAAGGAATCACTTAAACACCATTTCATATAGATAGTTAGTTTCTTTCTTTTTTTTCCAAAGTAATTATCATCATTTTTATGAAAAAAAAAAAAAGTTTTCGGGCTAAAACCCTCTCCCCCAAATTAAATCCTGGATCCGCTAGTGCCGTCAGACCACCAGTACCTTACACATTTGTGTAACGTGCGATAAAGACAGTTTTTAAAACTGAGGCACTGGAAAAATTAAAAGCTAAGCTGCGGTTAAGGATAAGAATCTTTTATATAAATTACTTTCCATATGACCAACCAATAAAATAGGGGCGAAAAGTGAAAACGTGTACCCACTCAGCAACGATCGTGACATAAATTGACACGTTATTTACCTTGAAAGACCTCAGAAAGAAAAGTGCTACTGAATATCCATATAGAAGCAGATCTAATAGGCCTCCATGATTTAGCATAAACAAAAATTATATTTTGATAATTTAAATTCAGATTTTTATCAATTATAAATTGTTTCCCAATTCCTAAATTGGAAGGTGACAATATTCTAATATCAAAAAGCGCTGACCGGAAGGTATTTCGAAGCTTGTTTCACATGGATAAACACAGGGCGGAAGAGACAATATCAGCTTTACCCCAATAACCTGACAGATGTTTTTTACAGAAGACAACAGTGGACAAGAGCCCTCCCTCCCACCAAAGAAAAATAATTGGCCTACAAGCCCTAACTGACTAAGGGCTCCCATTATCCCTAACGAGGTAGCTTGGTGGATCCTTTGTACCGAGGAGGACTATTTATCGCAATGAGCCGTCACTTCCAGGTCTTCCGGGGTGGCGTTCACTGCCGGGGATAAAGCTTACCATTACAATTACCGTTCCACTTCGTTTATCTACCTAAATTGTTTTAATTATAACTAAGATCAAGATCACAAAAAATTATTATAACAGTTAATTATTATAAAATTTCATAAGTAATTCTTCAAGGTTTGTCGAATCCAAGCATTATGAAAATAAAAATCCTGCCAAGTAAATCATTATAATATACAGGGTGTCTCATTTTATAATGGCCAAACTCTAGGGGATGATTCTAGACAAAATTTGGAACAAAAAATTCATTTGATGCATCGCCAAATGTCCGAACGGAAAAATAGTTAAGAACAATTTTCTGTTTTTCTAAGGTTGTCAGGTTTTTTGTTAAATAAGAAAGATTGTTCAAAAACTATTCAAGATAATTAAATTCTATGTACACCATCGTAAAGTAGATACAATTTGTTTGACAAGTGATTAAATTTACTAAGATCAATGATACAAGGGACTTTCAGAAAGTCTAATACAAGCCGCTGTACGGAGATATGATAGTCGTGTATAAGTACTGTAACTGTAGCAGTAGAGCGGTCTGTATTATATATATTATATTATAATGTAGGTCTAACATCTATTCAGTTGTTCGGAAAAAAATGCAGGATTTTGATTTAAAAAGAAAGATTTACAACTGCTTTATTAAATCAAAACAGTCTTCACTACTATCAATGCATTTCTCTCAACGCAGTGGCAACTTTTCCTGTCCCTCGGAATAAAATTTCCAATCTTTAGAATTAATTACTCCAAAAACGCATTTTCTGATTCCCTTTGTCCATTAAATTTTTTATAACGTAAGTAGTGGTACAGGTGTCTAATCCGTAGGCAAAAAGTCCGGTGAGTAGGGCGGATGTGGCAGAGTTTCATATCCAAGTTCCAACAGTTTTTGTGACATCACCCGTGAGACACGTGGTCGGGCGTTGTCATGCAACAAACTGGGCCCCTTTCATTATTGCCAATTTCTGAAGCATTAGGTGTATTAGCATTAGGAGGCTTTGGAAAATGTTCTGCTGATTCTCCTTTGCCGCGCCACTGTCCAGAACTGTTGTCGCAAACGTAACCACTTTTCATCACAAGTAACAATTCTGGACACAAAAGGGTCTTTTTTGTTTTGCAAGGAAGTGGAGCACAAATTTTATAACTCTGTTTTATTATTATGAGGTCATTTAATGTGTGTGGAACACAACTTTCAAGCTTTTTTACATTTCCAATCGCCTTGAGGTGGTCATCGACGATCGATTGGCTAAGGTAAGATTTCCCTGCAAGTTCTCGTACAGTTGTTCTGGGGGTTTCTTCCACCAAAGCCCGCAGAACATCGTCATCAAGAGAGAAAGTCCTTTCACGACCTTATTTGCCTTCAAGGCTGATGTCTCGATTCTCAAATTTTTTGAACCACCGTCGACCAGTGCAATAATTAATCATTAGTCTAGTTTAAACTCGTAAAACAATATTACACGAAAATCACACATCTTATTAAAGACTAAATTATTTCCAAGCAGCGAAATGCTACAAAGGTAAAAAACGTTATGGTTTGGAAGAGGATTAATAAGTGTTGACATTCATACAAATGAATACTCCCGTAACAGTAACCAGTTTGTTGTATATAGGGGTATTTTAACGAATACTTAAAATTCTGTATTATTTTCTGGACAACCGAATATTACTATTCAAGGTTTTTCTCATCACAACCATTTAAAGTTGTTCATTAATAAATTCTTATATTCTTTTATTTTCACAATATATTAAAATACGGTGAGACAAATAAACTACACAAATAACTCATATTGGCGAAATAGTATTTGTATAAAAACAAATATATTAGGTTACAAAATTAAATAAAATATGGATTCATACATTATTCATTTTTCCTCCAATAATCTTTATTATATATTCAAATATTGTAAAAAATATTTTTTATGCACATTTTGAAATATCTGTTGTATAGGTAATCTAAACATAAGAAAAGCCTTACTTTCTAATTAGTAACTGAATAAAGCTCTAGATTATTTTGATACATCCGCGACTGCTAGTTTTATCTGTGAAAGAAGCCACCTTACCGGAAGAGGAGAACATAAAAAGGCAGCTTCCGTTTACACTTCTCTTATCTCTTCCGGTGGCCATATTGCCCCGCTCCGGTACTGAAGTGTTAATTACTAAACTGGTGGCAAGTTAATTAGGCTATAAAAATATAGAGATCTTCTCATTGACTACGACCCCTCCTACACAGCTCAACTCCTCTTCTAGGTGAGATGTTTTTAATTACACTAGCTGTACCCATTAGGTAATTAACTGGAGAAAAGCCACCACTTTTTATTATTTAGGGTAGTTCATTCATAGAGAATCATAATTTAATTACAGATTGAATGAAATTCAAACAAAACTAAAAGTTCTGAAGACATAAAGATAAAATAATTGCTCTGAAATAGATATCGAAAGGCTAAAAAAATATCCATGTTTTTTTTTAAGTTTATTTATTCATCAGCACCCGTCTAATCGACATTTACAATCAAAGAATTGCTTATTCCGCCAAATTCCATTTGCCAAGATTAATGTTGGTCTGTATTATATGGTCCTACGATTTTATTTAGTATTTATATGATCCCCATTTATTGTTTTTGTTTTTACACATTAGTAATAATAAGAAATACATTATGTACACATATAAGATAATGCTCCATCTAAGGCTCAGACCTGGAACGTATTTCAAATGAAATATTTTAAGATACAGAATAAAATACATTAAAATGAAAATCCTTTTTGAAGTGAAAACTAATTTAGGTGCGTTTTGCACTTTTTTGTGGAGAGTGTATTAGATCGAGCCGTCAGATCTCCGATGAGTAAAGCTCGGGTAAAGTTTTTTGGAGCACACAAATTGAATTGTTTTTGCAAATGAATTAAAACACCTCAAAAAGTGAATATCAGACCTGCATATTGTTAGCGTAGGAAAAGTTTATCATTTCATCCTCTTTCTTACCTCTTAAAAATCAGACCAGCGCACTGTAAGCAAGGGAATTATTTAGCATTTCACTCGCTTTGTAATGGGCTATTATTTATGTTTCATATTATTAATGTTTTCACTTCTATCGTGTGGTCAAAAGCACACATCTTGGTTGTTTTTTTGTTTTGGATGACATTAAACAAATGGTCTATTCATCCTGTTTATAATGAGCAATTATTCAAAATTGTATTTTCACGCGACGCCGCATTAGAAAGGTGAACAGGGAAAAAATAGTGTTGAAAAGTAAATTATAACGAGTATTATTGAAAATATGGATTAAAATATCTCAGAAACTAAATATCGGAACTGCAGACTGTAAGCGAGAGAAATGTTTAGAATTTCATCCTATTTTTAATGAGCTATTATTTATAATTTATATTTCATATTATTAATCTCGCCTAGTTGATGTTTTAACTTATACCGTGTAGTCACACCTTCATTTCTTCTTTTTTTTCATTTAAATTTGTTATACTCGATTTTAAAACTCTGCTATTTGTAAGAAATCCATCAGGATATGCACATCTCTTTCTGTATCCTAAAACACTTCTTCGATATCTTCGTGCAATTTTGAGATTCTCCCTTATGACCCCAGAACAAGTACATTTTAAGAAGTAAAACATAAAATACATTGTTTGTAACTATATTTTCTTATTAAAATACAAAAGTAATGTTTGTATTTAATTTCCCAGTTTAATATAAAACAAATGTATTATATTAAACTTTAAATACACAAAATAAATTTCCAAATATAGTGAATTCCCTATGTTATAGTGGAAACCGCCCTGAGGAAATTGAAAAATGGAAAGGCGCCAGGCCCGGACGGAATCCAGTCAGAGCTGTTGAAATGTGGAGGTGAAGAACTCAAGAAAGCTCTGCATGATTTAATGCTGACCATCTGGGAGAAGGAAGCTATGCCAACGGAATGGGCAACAGCCATTATCTGCCCAATACATAAGAAAGGAGATCAAACAGAATGCGCTAACTATCGAGGAATCTCACTCCTTTCGTGTGCTTATAAGCTGCTCTCTAACATTCTTTTTGAGAGGATCCTCCCGTATTCTGAAAAGGAACTGGGGAAATATCAGGCTGGATTTCGAAGAGGACGCTCAACGACTGATCAACTGTTCTCTCTGAGGATGATCCTAGAAAAGACTATGGAGCGTAAGGTAGTCACCCACCATTTATTCCTGGACTTTAAAGCAGCATACGACAGCGTTGATAGAACGCAACTATACTGTGCCTTGGAGGAGCTAAGCATCCCTCAGAAGCTCGTACGCCTAATCAAGATGACCATGGACAGCTCGAGATGCAGAATACGCGGCGGTTCTGACGACTCCGAAGAGTTTAAAGTGAGCAGTGGGGTTAGGCAAGGGGATGCCCTCGCCTGTCTATTGTTCAATTTGGCAGAGGAGAAAGCTGTAAGAGACTCCGGTATTCAGACCAAAGATATAATCTTCAATCGCCTGACACAGCTTCTTGGTTTTGCTGATGATATTGACATAGTAGGTAGGTCTGAACGGGCTCTCAGAGAAGCGTTTATAAGCCTTGAAGCAGCTGCAAGACCTCTTGGTCTAGAAGTCAACGAGAGGAAAACTAAGTATATGAGAGTTGGCGGTGAGGTGGATCTGAACTCTCCATTTGAGGTAGGTTCTTTTAAGTTTGAGAGAGTGAAAAGTTTTATATACCTTGGGTCTGAAATCAATAGCAAGAATGACATGGCTCAAGAAATACAAAGAAGGATCACGGCTGCCAATAGATGTGTCTTTGGACTTGGCCGACACTTAAGAAGTAGGTACCTCTCAAAGAAGACCAAGCTGATCATATACAAGACCCTTGTTCGGCCTGTTTTGACATATGGCTCAGAGGCTTGGACGATGACTAAAAGGGATGAGATGAAGCTGAGTGTCTTTGAGCGAGGAGTCCTCAGAAGGATTTATGGTCCAGTAAAGGAGGGTGATGTCTGGAGGAAAAGAAAAAATAGGGAGCTCAGTTCTCTCTATGCAGACATCGACGTAGTCACGTATATTAAACTGGCCAGACTAAGGTGGGCAGGGCATGTGGCCAGAATGAGCACCCTTGAAATACCAAAAAAAATAATGATGGAGGAGCTGCACCTCGTAAGACGGGTAGGGAGGCCGAGGACGAGATGGTTGGACAACGTGGCCTATGATGCGAGAACCCTGCTTGGTGTGCGGAACTGGAGAGCTGCAGCAGAAGACACAGCCAACTGGCGGAGGCTCTTGGAGGAGGCCCAGTCTCGGTGACGGGATGTTGTGCCATACATGAATGAATGAATTCCCTATGTTATAGGCTGATAGTCCACCAGTAATTATTTTGTTTTGTGATTAAAATACAAAATATTTTTATACACTGTATTTAAAAAAACACACACAAAATACTTGATATTTTAAATACTTTAATTAAAAATAACATTATTACATTTCATTTGAATGTAAGTGATTCACTTATTATATATTGGTGATAAAACATATTTTTAAAATTTAGAGCAGAGAAGGCATCAAGGTAACCACAACTATAAACTGAAGGTTAGCAATTGAAACTTCTCTCGTAAAGTTATTAATTATTTCGCATTCTAAACTTAGTTCAAGTGTAATTAGGAACGAACATACTGCAGACAATTGGGATATCTTGGCGATAAACACTGAGGTTAATTAACAGTTTAGCAAATTAGTTAAGTCATTGATTAACCAACTATCACACACAGTATCAGTTATTATTTTGTTACCACAAGTTATACAGTTGGCAATATCTAGATTATATTAAGTTTAGAAACTCCAGTAAAATTGAAATTCATAATTTGCTAATTGTTAATTTACTCAAAACACCAACCTGTAATTCAAAATGAATAATTAATATATTAATTACTGCAATAGTTAATTAATTACTAGTATTAATTAATATGAAATCATTCCCACCAATAAATACAGTCAATTCTTAATAATTAGAAATCCATGGGACTATAAGAAAAAATCGAATTATTAGGAGCTTTTATTATATTTTTTGAAAATATGTATGAGTTTATATAAATTTTATGTGTACTTATCCTCATGTA